TGGGAGAGAGCTCTCTGCTTTTAGTTAGTTTTAGCTAGCTGAGGCAAAGAAATGCCCTGGACTGTGTATTTTTTCCTTTTCTTTGGACCTGTTTAAACCTGCTCTGGACTGAACACCAGAAGAGCAGCAGCAGCTCACACCTGTGGCCACTGATCCCAGCCTGGGCCATGGCATTTCCAGTGCTGGAGGGACTGATCAGAGATGAGTGAGCTGAGCTGCAGCCCAGGGAGGGGACTTTCTGAGTTTGTCACCTTTTGGAGCTGCAATATTGTTTAATATTGTTCATTTTTTTTGTGCTAGTAAATGCTTTGCTTGTTAAATAAACAGGTTTTTCCACTTTTCTCCAAGGAAATCTTTTTCCTGAACCAGTTGGAGGAGGGGCCACTTGACTTTGCTTTTCTAGAGGAAACGCCTTTAGAGGTTTTAATCCCAAAATTGCCCTAAACCAGGACAAATACAATTTTTGGCACCCAACATGTGCCTCGAGAAAGTGGAAAAAACCTGTTTTGATTGCAGTTTAGTTGTGCTTACTCTGTATTGGGATAAAGTAGTCAGTAGCCATGTTGCTTGACTTCATAATGTCTCTCGGGGTGGAGGCTTTCAAGTGCTTCTGGTCTCTAGGCTTTTTTGAGGTTTTAATACCTTTCTGGTCCCTAGGATTATTTTCTTATCCAGAAATAGCTCCGGTATTGTCCCTAACATGTAGTTTTTGCAGTAGAGGAGCACAGATTAGAATTGAGCTGGGCTCAGTGAGAATGATTTATAGGGAGTTCACAAAGGTACTGGAGTCTGTTCAAGATAAGCATGGTTTATGGTTTCTTTGTCCTACCCTGCGTCCTAGTTCCAGTAGCATGTTTTGGGAGTTTATTAGTAATTGCACCCAGTTTGTTAGAGGAGGAGCAGGGGATAAGGCCTTTCCCTTTCCCTTTCCCTTTCCCTTTCCCTTTCCCTTTCCCTTTCCCTTTCCCTTTCCCTTTCCCTTTCCTTTCCGACACCAGCTAAAATAAAGTCTTCAAATGCTGATCAACTGTCAGGGTCACCTGCTATGGCAGCCTATCTACCCTTCCTTCTCTTCATAAACAAACTGGAGCAACACAGGTGGTGGGATGTCTCTGTTTGCCTCCTTCAAAGTCACTATTTTGATATTAAAGAGCATATTTTCCACTATTCCACCTAGCTGCTTAAAAAGATTTAATAACTCCTGTAATGCTTGCACAGCTGGATCAAAAAGTCTCTGTACACAACAGGATCTAGTCCAAGTCTCCAGGTCTACCAGATGCTGTGCCACTACACTTACACTTTTCATTTGGTTAGCACGTGATATAAGTGGATTTATCTTTGCTTCCCTATGCCACTTATCAATGAAATGCTACATCTGTGGAAACACACTCCACTCTTCAGTAAGTGCTGAGCAACCAGTCTGACTCAGACCCTGTTCCGATGGTGCTGAACTATTATTTTGTGTGGTCAGGTGGATGATGACTTTGGGACCATCTTGACAAGTCTCTGAAATGGATAAAGTGAGTTTTTCATCATCTTGTGACTGATCTGTAGGGAGCACAAACCACCCTGGATGTGGGAGCAAATGAGGGAAACACCTTGATGCTGTTTTTGAAGGCATCTGGAGGCTCAAATGTTCAGCTGCCAATCATGGCATGACATATGCCATTTCTCAGCTGGTGGTTTGGTTTCTTTAAAATTTGGTCCTGATCTATGTTTTAAATGGAAGAGCAGTTAAACTTCATGCACAAATAAAAAGCAGATAATATATTAAAGAATCTCTATTGGATTTCGAAGTAGGCTGGGAAGTACATAAACACCTTTAGTACAGACTGCTTTTCTTACATCACTTCTTTGTTCCTTGTCTCAGCAGGACAGGGAAATATGCAACACACCTTCAACCAAACATTTTGAAAAAAAAACAAAACAAGAAAATAAAACCCAGCTGAAATCCTACCTTAAATAGATCAATTCCATATCTTGGTTCCCTGTGAAGAGCAGCGGCTGTGAAACAGTCCAGAGACACCAGTGTTCAAACCTTCTGAAACAATTGCAGGCAGCTCACCTCACACTGACAGGTTCCTCTCACAATTGTACTATTTTTAAACAGTACTAGTTGTAAATTGTATTAGTAATGAATTGCACTTTTAAACCAACATTATCAACTTCAAAGCAAGACTGAACCTGATCTCTACTTGCATAAATGACAGAACAAGCCCATTCTTGGTTCAACAGCTTGGGCAGTTCAGATTTGGTTCATCATAGGAATTTATCACCATCTGCAGAAAACTTTTTTTTGCTTGAAAAGGAAAGATTAAAGTCTGCAAGAGCTGATGAGAATACCAGGAAAAGCTGGCAGTGAGGCTATGCCCAGAAAGCCAAACTTTGCACTCAGGTCCTCTGCAGCTGCCTGTGTTTCCCTCAACAGAGAACAGCAGAACAGAGAAAATAATAGAAAATACAGAAGTGGAGGGGGGAACCACCTTGACAAGTTTGATAAGCTCAGGAGATGAAGACTTTTAAAAAGATGAGGTGGGATAAAGGTGCAGGAAAGGGCAAAGAATTCTGTTTCTCTGTCAAGCAAAAACTCTAAAGTTTTTCCACATCATAAAGGTCAATCAAGATTTTACATAAGATAACAGGATGCAGCTTGCCCACAAAAAGTTAGTGTAGTTACACTTAATGTATCCACTGGATTAAAATAGGACAACTTGAGCATTTTTTTTATGGAAATCAGCTCTTCAAAACCTTCTAAAGCAATTGGAGAGAACTATGTTTTCCAAGAACATGCAAGCCTGAAGAGGGAGCACATTCTAGCAAGTACATGATCCTGTGCTAGAGGTGCAAATTCCCTAATGAGTACTCTAGCTGATTTTTTCAGACACCAGCTTCAAATGCTGATCAACTCTAAATCTTATAAAAATTGAGGTAAGACAGGAAAAACTCCACACTGTTAGAAAAGCAAGTGTCAGACTATAAACCTCATGGGGAAAATCTAGAAGACTGAAGTTCCTGGGAGTTGTACTATTGCACGAGTGGGGCAGAGATTTCTCCCTAACTGTTCCCTGAGCCCAGGGGTAGTCTGTACTTTCTCTAGTGTGTAAGGGATGGAAGAAATCAGAAGAGAGCACATAATAAATCAACTGACAGTCTCTAAAAATATAGCTGTCCTGTCTCCTTAATATGAGTGAGAGTAATGTTCTGAGGGCAGGAAGAATTTGGCTTTAGACTGAAAACATTCCCCTATTGGGGTAAAGAAAGTGATCACTCTGTAGTTTAATCAATCTCAGGCCTCTCTTTGTGGGGAATAGCGTGTTGCCTGCAACAGTACATGTAATAATGTTTGCTGAAATATAAACTATGGCTGTATACCCCAAAATGGAAGGTCAGAAGTCAACTGAGGATCTGGCCGCAGAAGTTCAACAACAGAGATCAAAAAGCAATATATCAAATCCAGTACTTTTCCTCGAGGAACAGGTTGCAGAAATTTTTCAACCCATCTCCTTTCACAGTAAGTGCACTCATCCTGCATGTAACACAGCTGTGCACCACAAACTGCCAGGTTACTCAGAGATGAAGTTCATGTTTCCTAATTTCTCCTTGTCCTGTGCTCAAGTATTTAAATGTTTGTACAGTGAGTTTGCTCTTATCCACAAACGCAGCTCCCCTGAACCTCTGCAGTGCTTTTCAAGTCCATTACCACAGTGAAGAATCACATGAAACACCATGTAGTCCTCCCCCAGCCCTTGAAAAATATTTCCTAAAGCCGACGTTTGGTATTACGGAATGTGTTGTAATCCATTCTTAAAGTTATAGCACCACTGGATTTTTATTAACTTGCACAACAACAACAACATCAAAAATCCAACAAAAAATGGGCCCTCATAATCAGTCAGCCTTGTTATATCCTGAAAGCTGCTTTAACAAGCAGGGAGTAATATAGTGTAATTTAATTGTTCTGTTCTTAAATCTAATATTGCAGCTGTGGGTTAAATTTACACCACAGCTTTCAAGAGAACATGAAAGTGTGGTACATCTGTGCAACAGAAAGCTAAACATCTCTCATCTGATGTGTTTACAATGACATTTGATAGCGTGGAATTGTTTGGAGTTCATTCTTAAAGCTGCAGAACTGCTTTTCGATGCTGGGAGAAAAAAAAAAAAAAAAAAGGAAAAAAACCTCCAAACTCCTTCCAGCAACTCAGCCCACACAACCCTGATGCTTGTATCTTCTGGCATTGCAGGCAAACTGCTGGCTGGAACAATTCCTTCAGGTATCCTTGAGCATTTGTCACTCGGGCAGTGGACAAGGGGACAAGGGGACAAGGGGACAAGGGCATCTTCTTCTTCAGAAGATAATTATTTTAAAAACAAATGACTCAAAAAAAAACCCTGGGCAGAACAACCCCTGACATGCATAAAACAGATGAAAATATTTCAAGAAATGTTATTTCATGAATGACTGCATCATGTATAGAAATGGTGAAGTTTTCTGTTTAGCAGGTGGCACAACTGCTTATGGTATCTTGAACTTCACATTCTGCATAAGTAACAGCTTCAGCATTATGTACTTGTTAGTGAATTTATGAGGCCCATAAGTCGTTCAAGAAACTTAGGAATGAGCTCACAAATGTCATCTGCAGTTTGTGAACTGTAAGTATCTGACTGTTTTGATCAAGGTTTTTATGGGAAAGTTAAATGTTTATTAAAATTATTTAATACTGCCCCACAAAAAGGGAGCAAGCCTGCGGAAGAACTTAAGTTGTGATAAGATGTGATAGGTTGTAGGTCAAATGATTTGGCAGAAAAGCATTTCTGTTTATGTTTAAGCCCAAATTTTTGTACAATTCAAAGTTTAGACTGCATTTAGTTGACCGAGAAAAGGTCTGTGGAGAGAAGGAATTCTTCCTTTCCCATAACCTGCTGTCAGAAATATATGATCTCACCAGGCCACTTTTCTTGTTCTCAGCATTAGCCTTTTTCTAACACTTTCTGTCCTTGGAGAAATGCATGATAGTGAAACTTAGTTAAAGAAGTCACTTTCTGCTCATTCCTTTGTAGCAGTCCACACTGGCATCTTGATTTATGCTCTTTAACAGATCAGTCTCACTGATGAAGCTCAGCTGTATTACACTGGAATCTCTAAACTTTTTAAACTTTATTATTTCAGTCACAATTAAGACTATCTGAAGCCTCTTCATAAAAAAGGGCCATATCAAAAGCTGTACGTTAGCAACTGGATCAATGGATGCATTCATTCTGCATCAAAAATACCTTAAGAAGGACAGATCTCCTGGGGAGGCAAATCTGTATCAACATTTCAGTCTCTTGAATGCAGAAGTTTGATACAAAGTGATGCAACACCTGAGCTCCCCTCCTTTCAATTAACTGAGAAAAATTGTCCTTAGAAGGGAAGAAGTGCATTTGTATTGTTTAGTTTTCAGGTTTTCCGCCCTTTCATAGCATCATAATGTTCTTTTCATGGGTGGAAAACTTAATCTTCAAGTTCAAGTCTAGATTCTTCATACAGTTCAGGATGAGATGACTTGGAATACCGGGAATATTTCAGATGTAGAAAATCACCCAATTCATCCAGAGCATTCAAAACCTGTAAGACCATGATACTTTGTCAATTCTATTGGAAAAGAAATTAACTTCTACTAACTTTTAATTTACTGAAGAACAAGAAGATTATAAAAAACATCAATTAAAGTTTAAAGGACAAATGGGCAAATTTTGCATTCAGTCTATAACAGTGACTATCAGTGTTGTTGTAGATGTACAACAGCATCTATGAGAAAGGAATTTACTCCTTCAGTAGGTAATGGTTTATTAGTAAGTACATTAATTGAACACAGATGAAAAAATTATTTTTTCCAAAAGCACAGAGAGGTAATAACCAAGATAAAAAGTTATCTTTGCATGTACAAAAAAAATGTGTGAGACTATACTTCAGTATTCCTCCATAGCTCCCAAAGACTGGAGTTGCCAATGCATTTTCTTAGGTAGTACTGAGCTCACAGTGCTGAGCAGAGTCAGCATGAATAGTCTGAATAGTTTAAGATAATTTTAGTGATTGACCTTATTTTCTATATAATGGGGACAAATTTTTGTTCATTAATACTGTAATGCAATTTGCTGAGCTGTGTCCCCAGCTCTCAGTGGATTCAAAAAGTAGCTGAGGAACTCTGTACCATAGGGAAGCAGCTCGATGTTTTGCAGCATCTGACCCCCATTCAAGAGCAGCCAACTTTTTGGCATCAAAGAAGGAAACAGCAACTTTGATTTTAATCCTGGTTCTGTTAAGCCACTAAAACAAGCTCATAAACAAAAAGTAATTTAGAACAAAGAGAAGTAATTTAGTAATGGTTTACGCAAAAAGATAGCTTCCAGGTCATTAAGGAAGTTATTCTTGGGAGCTTGCCCTTTCATGGATCTTCTCTCTTTCGTTCTAGGCTGAGACATAAAAGGGAAATGTTTTCATTGTGCTGTTACCTGTTGTTACCCTGGGTTTAGGCACAGTCACAAAGTGTTTTGTCCAAAAAGCTTTCTTTCTGCTAGTAATTAAACTCAGGGCATTTCCATTCCCCCATGCTGTAAGAGCACCACAAGTACTGTGGCAAAATCAAGCATGTTCAGTGATGACTGGGAGTGTCAGACCTTCCCTGGAAGCAGCAAGGTGCAGGTAGGAGGAAGTGAATGCAGAATGATGGCCCAAAAATGTCAGGTGGGCTTGACATTTGAGGGTGGGGAGAAAGGAAGAAAATCAAAGCATCAACCTCAAGAGATAAATCTTCAGATCAACTTCATTGCCTGTTACCAGTTACATAAGCCAAAATCCTCACAGTCAAACAGCAAAAGCTGGTAATTACCAACACAAGAAGCTATGCTCTGTTCTACAAAATACTACCTTTATGGTGTTGTACCTTGTTAATAACTACTGAACCTTTAAAAGCAGCAGGAATTTTACAGTGCACACATGCAAAGCAGGTTTTTGATGTTGTTTTAAAGCTACCTACACTGGTATGGAAAGTGCTCAGCAGGGCAGGGCTCCAGCCCCCACATCCACAGATATTTCAGGATGAAAAAGGAGATTCAGGAGCTCTCTGCAGTGCTTGTCTGCATGAACCAGTGGCACATTTAACATTTCCATGTTCAAGAATTTTTCGCTTTGACCATCAACACTCGTGCAAAGAGAGGAAAAGCAAAGCCTGAAATTTATTGTTAAGCCTCTTTGTTTCATGCTTATTCTGAGAATGAAAGAACATATCTCAAGCCAGGCCAAAAACACCTTCGGCAAAAAAAGGAAATGAAAAATTTCAAAGTGTTTATTTTAAACACATTTCCATGTTGGAACGGAGGTTTATGATGGGAGTCTCAACACACTCATAATGGTATTTTTGATACTGGAGAAAGATACAGAACTGAGACTTTCCAGGCAGCACCAATTAAACTTGATTAGGTTCAAACAGTTCCAAAATTTTTTGCAATTTCCACCTGTACCCCCAAGGCTGTCCCATATACTTCTGCAGTTTAAAAAACACATGGAAATATGGAATGGAACTATGGGTATGGAAAACTTGATTTTCAGTTATTTCCATATAGTTTCAGGTTTCCTACTCTGATAGTTTTGACATAGCATTTAACTTTTGTCTTGCTGTGCTCTTCATGTAGGTTTTTATTACTGATGACAGATTTGGTCACTATTAGAAATAGAAGAACATAAGAAGTTAACTGTCTCATCATTTATTTTAGAAAATAAAATGTATAAGGCTCAAATGCCTTTAAAGATCAACTGGCAAGGTCACAAAAACGAATGTAAAAATGAATTATTGAGATTCGAAGTAACAGAGGCACAGCTTCTCCCAGCCTCCTTTGCACCTGAAGTCAATTTGGGCAGGACATCTGCTGCACTTACCGTGTCCAACATCTCCCGTGTATGTGCAGCTGACACGCAAAACCGAGCCCTGGATTCTGTGATAGGAGTAGCTGGAAACCCAACCACGACTACCCCAATATTCTTTTCTAACATGCGTCTTGCAAAAGCCCTAAGGAGAGAAAAGGTAGAAGGAGAAAAATCAGAAATGAAAAAAACATTCACATATAATGCAACAATAGGTAAAATCCTGTTTTCAGTTGATTGAATATTCCCATTTAATTTTACCAGCAGGATGGAGATTCTTTGCTGTTTAGTGGCTCATAAAGTCAAGTGGGTGTCAAATGCTAGAAATGTGATGGCACAGAGGGCTTTGCAGGTAGACATGATTCATTTATGTCAATGAAAGTCTCTGAGTACAAATCAAACCATGTGGGCATTCACAGTCCCTAAGCATGGAAGAGGTTGGGCTTGTGGAAGGTATAAATTGTCAGTTCCTGAACACCAGTAGGAATAAACCAATCTGTGTGATGGTTGTTTGCTCTCACAATTGATCTGCTAGTTATGAAGGTTTTTGTGTGGCATGTATGAGAACTAAGCCACCCTAAGCTACCTGCAAATACTCCTTACAGCTCAACACTTACATTATGCTACTACTGACTTCTGGTCTTTTTTTCCAATCAGTGCACAAATGCTCCTTGAGATGAACTAAATGGTAAAACATGCCAAGACATGATCAGATGGGGGAAAAAAATTCCTTGTAAACCAGTTCATACATTAAAGGCAATGTGTCTCCTTTAAAAATTAATTACCAAAATTAAATTTTGGTAATTCAAAACCAAAATTCATAACCAAAATTCAAAACAAAAAAAAATATTAAAATTCAAAATGTCATCAAAAGTGTTATTCCAGACCATGTTAAAAAAGGAAAAGAGAAAAATTTTAAAATTCTGACATCTGGAACAACTCAAAATTAAACCTAGGGGCAAAAAGAAAACAGAACTAAATGATGAATTCAAACTACAGTGTATGTTTCTCCTGGGAAGCACCTACCACAAAGAACATCATTTTCTGCAGTGTGTACCAAATAACCCACAAACTTGAATAGTGCTTGTTTTGCCAGCAAGTTTTTCAGTACTTACCCTATCTTACCAGGCATATAAAGCAGCAAGGGAACAACAGGAGAATCATCATTGCCATAAATGATGAAGCCCATTTCATGCAGTTTTCGTCTGAAGTACCTTGTGTTTTTCTCCAGCTGACGCACTCTTTGGAGCCCTGAAACAAGCCAGCCAGGAGAAAAGTCAGTGCAAAGATCATAACTGGAGTCTAGTCACAGGCAAGAATCAGGGCTGGGGGTAGCAGTTTGGATGAAATGTAAATGTTGCTATTTGACTGAGAAGAAAAACATGGAATGAGCTAAATGCAACTACATTGATTGTTATGGCATTGTAGGATGGATGGCTCATACTCCTGTACTTGTAAGGTGCCTTCCCAGAAGGATAGACATGTGGACAATTCCCTGGACTTCGCTGTGCTAAATAAAGCCTGCCAGATGACACACACCTACAGAGAAGTAGTGCAGACAGGACATGGAAATCAAGATTGTTCTTTCTCAATGTAACTGAGTATTATCTCTGCATTGTTCCTGGCCTCATTTAATGATGGATCCACAGATGGGACCCCAGCAAAACTGACAGGAGAGTTGAAAATTATTTTTAATAAAGGAAAAATACAAAAAACAGCAGAGAAAAATGTGCTTGAAAAAACGTTTCAGCCATTTCTTTTGCAGTGCCACAAAGGAGGTGCTTTCTGACAAGTGCAATTGCTTCCCAACCCATTGCATAAAGAGGCAAGAAACACGCTCTACATTACTGTAGTAGGAGATCTAATATGTCCTCTCACCATTCCACCTGCATTATCTCTCATCAGTGAGCTGATCTACGTGCTGCTTTTGCACTGCTGTGAGGTGCTGACGGGCATGGTGCCACCTCCTCCATAGCCACATGCTTGCCCAGTGCCAGCTCAAGTTCACACAGCCAAACTGAGCCAGGTCGGTCATCTGCTTGACCTTGCCAGAACCAAAACTGCCAAGCCACCACTAAGCAGATCGAGTCTCTAAACTTGGGAACCTCACAAGTTCAGTAGCTTGTGTCTGCCCAGCAGAGGTGGTGAGAATGCGTGGTAATACTGGGATTTAGCAGGACACAGTTTCACTCTTAACTTTCATTTTCCTGCTGTTCATCAGCCCATACTTTCAATATCACTCACATTATGGCACCAGACACGACCATTGAAACCTCCAGTGCAGCTCATTTCCTCTTTTCCCTTTGCCTTTGCACAGATACTGTGTTTTCATTCTCCATTTATGTTTTCATTTTACATTTCGTTATTCTTCATTTACCACTTTCACATTCTTCATTCTTCATTTACCTCTTTCTGCTGTCACCATTCTCTGACTGGATGCACACTTCCTAATTCCCCATCCTGCTCTGTGTAATCACAGTGGCCAGCAAGGCATTTGTAGCAGCTACGTGCTACCTTTGTCCTCAGATTTGTCCTCAGACCACATTCTGCCCCCATCATCTGCTCTGGCTTTTCTTCCTTTTCCCTCTTGGCTTAAGTGGGGATCAGCACACCTACATGAACCTCTTCTACATTAATATTTCTGAACGTGTATAGGTTTGAACAAGATCTACTACTTCATTTGTTCTGTATTTCCCAGAGTCAAGGTTCTGTCAGTGTTCTGGCTGGGAAATTTATAGGGAAACTGGGATTTGCTTCATAGTGTTCGGTGCTTTGCTTGAACAAATTAGAAGATCTCATAAAAACAGTGCATTTGTAACTTCATGCACAAAACTGCCCACGCAGACAACCTGTTACTTAAAGTCTCAGTCATTCAGTTTAAAGCACTCAGTGGAAGAGATCTGCTGGGTTAGAAAAGGCCACAAATAGTTTAACTATCTCTCTAATGCTGCTAAAGCAAAAACAGCTGTGCCAGAGCAAGGAAAACAAATGAAACACAAAAACATCCTACTACAAAGCTTTCCAGTCACTAATAAAAACAATAGCCTGTGGTATTTCCAAAAATATTTTTGGTGTAGTAGATCTCAAAGAAACGGGGAAGTACTGAGGAGGAGAAGGGAAAGGGAGATGATGGTAAGGACAGGGAGTTAGAGAATTACAGAATAATGTGGTTGAGAGAATTTTTCTCTTGTTAGAAATTGTAAAACTGTTATTAGCACCTCCTTAATGTCCAAGTTATGAGGAGGAGGGTGGGGGAGTAACCTGAACTCAGGGCTCAAAGCCACTGCTGTTTCTTGCTATCTTAGCAGCTCCTGAGCTTGTTTCCAAACTCTCAGTTGGAAAGCATTTGAAATTACTAGATTTTCAATTAGGGAAACCTCTCCTAAATGCAGATGTTCTTGACGAGTGCAGTTTAGGACTTGCTGCCTTCTCCTTTCCCACTGTGTTTCCATTTCTGCAGTAAACATTCACGTGTTTACTACAGAGCTGGAAACACAGTGTGAGCCATGCAGGATTCCAGGCTGTGCTGTTTGCTATTTATCAAACCATATGTGCAGGACCCAGCGTTGAACAGTTTTGTCTCCACTTATTTTTGGTGCTGAAAATTTAGACTCCAGCTAAGGAAACTTTGGAGTTGAAAGAGGAGGTTCAGACAAGCCTCCAGAAGTCAAACACCTCTTCCTTTTCTAATCTTCCTTTCCTGATTCTACATCCTCAAACAGTTTGTGATGTGAGATCCCCCCTTTCAAGGCTCCCTATGGAGCTCATTTCAAGCCAGCCAGGGCTGGTGCAAAAGAGCCACTTGGATGTTTTAGCAATATCCCAGAATACTAATTTCATTTGCAGGGATGCATTAAAGAGCCAAATGAAAGATCAGAGCACTCACATATATCTGGAGGGAAAAAAAGCACATTAGGAGATGATTGCTACACACACTGTATCTGTGGGTGGGTGGGTGGCTGGGAGGAACCTATTTCTTTGCCAAATGTCAACACCTTCCTTTCTCATGTTAAGTTTCGTGGTCAAAGACCACAGACACACACCATATACGCAGACTTCTTATATGCTGTCCCAATAATAGCAATAAAACCAATAAAATTTGTAGCTGTATTTCAACACTCTTTTTCATTCTTTTATGGGATCTTCCAACATCAGATAAGGATGCAGATCTGAGCAAAATGTTTATTTTTGTCTCACTGGCCTGATTTTTCCCCCACACTGCAGATTAAGAGTGATGAATTCAGTTTAGAATCAGGTCTTAATCCAAATTCACTGTGAGAGGTTTAACTAAAAGCACCACATTTTAGAAATAATTTTCTTTGATTCCTGAGGCTGGGATCTTTAATATTTATTGAGTGAAAATCTGCTAAGCAGACCCTTGAGCTAAAAGAATATGGCTGCATCTATGTAAGTGTAAGAATTTACCTGTATGGGACTAATTAGAGGATCAGGTCCCTAGATAGTAAATATGTGTTACAAAATTCTTACTTTGAAAAATCCTTGAGGATTTACAGTCTATGTAAAGAGCTTCTAGCACAGCATGCAGTATATCCAGAGAGTTATAGTCCATTAAATATGTGAACCAAAACACAGCATATGTTTGGAAAAAACCAGCCTGGACAGGGAATACCAACACTCCTTTATTTAAAACTAAGCACACGAATGCTCCAGAGTATTTAGCTAAGGCTGAGAACAGTTTTATTAAGTGCTCTATATTTTCTTATTGGCTAATTTAAGAAGGGACAGAAGGAGAGAAAAGTGAACAATAAAAAAATTCCCAAATTTCAGTTATCTTCACGCTGCTGGGAACACACACAGGTGGTTTGAGGAGATTTTTCTGAAATAAAGGATTAATTGCCTGGATAGTACAAGAAAAGCAGATTTACTGCATCAGCAATCCACCTTCTGCTGGCAAATTTAGAGTTTTCATTTGGTTGCACCACTTTAAAAATATTTGGTTTACTGCAAAGTTCTAAGGTGTCAGCAATTCTGGGGAAAATGCTGATTATATTTTTATGTGACATTCATCATTGCATACTGCTGGCTTTAGCTCATTAATTTATGCAGGCTTTTAGAAAGCTTTATACCTCAAAATTAATATGGTTTAGTTGAAAGAAAAAATGCAAAAAGAAGGAAAGAGAGAGATATAAATAATAAAATGCAGCAGGTTATAATTTCTTTGAAGCAACAAAATTTTTAAGAGAGCCACTTGGAGTAACAGACTTGGCAGAAGCTTTGTCACACATTGTCAGGAAAGCATTCTGACTACATATCTGAGGGCCTGATCTTAGGCTGGCTTTACCTGGCACAGCTCTGTGCACTTCAATAGAACTTTGCTGTTCATGCCAGCTGAGGACCTTATCCTGGCAGCAAAAGAGGCAGTAAAACTATCAGCTCTCTAAAACAAAACTTGGTTTTCCTCTTCCAGAGATGTCTGCTTCTGCCTCCTGCAAAATGCTCCTAAGCAGAGAAGTTGCCTGCATCCAATTCCTGCACAAACATTCCACCTTTGAACTCTTTGTGTCGGCTCCTACCCTTGGAAGTTGTGACTGAATCTATTGAAAAGAGGAATAAGCAACCTACAGCCTTTCATATCAAGATCTCAGGTGTAGGACGTGAAGGAGAGATATTTTTCCTGAACCCATGCCAGGAAAGATAACGCCACACCATACTGGTTTTTGGCATGCAGAGGACTCTTCAAGATACAAATTCACCTGCTTTAATCTTCTCCAGCTGTTGTTTCATAGTTCCTTTCTAGACAATTAGTTACACAATTGAGCTTGTACATACTAGTGTCAGTGTTCCTTGGATGGAGCACTCAACTCCCTGCCTTCCTCTAATAACAACTAGATAGGAAAAAGCAATCTTCCAGAGGCTGAAAAAAACCTGGGAAACAATAGCTATTTCCCACTAAACTATTGCAGATGGACAGAGTTCCTTTTTTAATTCTGGTTCCCTTATAAGAGTAACACACATGTACCTCCATGTGCATTAAATCAGAAATAGAATTCTATAGAACCAGAGCGCCTAAAGGAAATATATTCTCAGATCAAACAATCTTTTTAAAAAATAACATTGCTACAAACTGGGGAGAAATGAAGACATTTACTTCTACTATCTAATGCTAACTAGAAATCTAGTAATTGCAACTTAATTCAGCTGCTAAATAATCCCTGGAGGACTTTTTTTTACTGTGAACTGCTGCAGTGCTCTTTTCAGAGAAGATCAAGGGAAGAAAAATAGCAATTTCA